TATCTTCATCTCGTTGTATAAGTTGCACCTTTATATATATATATATGTGTGTGTGTGTGTGTGTGTGTGTACCCACTGTGCAAAAATTTGTAATATTTATGTTTTATAAATGTTTTAAGTTTACTTAAAACGTTAAAAATTATTGTAAAACTTACGTAAATTTAACATTATACGAACTGCAAATGTCCGCGAAAATTTACTTGATAATTATGTAATATTTACATAAATATAACAAAATAGTAAACGTCAATTTGATGTTAAAATTATGTTAAAATTCTGTTTCACCAAACATGAAATTTATGTTAAAACTATGTTTTATTAAACATAAAATATGTGTTTTATCGAAACAGACGAAAAACATTATAATAAAACTGCTTATTTATGTTCTAAGAAAGTTTTTAAATACTAAAATATAACATAAATATTATATGATTATTTAACAGCAATAAGATATATCGGATGTATCTCATATTTTACATACCTACCATGCATTTATAAATGGCTATAATAGTCATAACAGATATAGATATAAATCATACTAATTAATTATCTATATTATATCTGTGAACATCAATTAAATTTTTCAGTATGCTATCATTATTAAAATATACCTTTAATGTGTCTCGACTCTTGATTACTTACCTACTAATGTTATTCGTAAGTCCTATTAAATAAAATAGATAGGTAGGTACTTAAAATGCAGATTAACAAAAAACAGAAAACCAATTAGACTTCAACTAAGCATTTATTATGATATTAAATCAATATAAAATATAGATATAAGAAAGAAATATAGATAATTATGGACTAAACATTTTTTGGTATAACATATAGTAAGTAGTTGAAGTTCCACTGTGCTTACAATATTTCATGACATAATCACTGGTTGTAGTTCTGTATAGTGTACAGGCTCTTCATTATTGGGCAACTTAAATGCAGAAGTAGATTCAGGTATTATACAGTACCCAGAATGATCTGTACACAATAATTTCAACATGTTTAGTCTTACACATATTACAACCCATAGTTTACTAAGCCTTTAGGTACCTTACTGTAATAATTAGGATAGATTGAGGTTATTAATTACCTTCATCACTGCTACTGCTTGATACATCAAATATCGTTGATGCACGTTTACATTTGGTCATCAAATGAACCTCCTCATTTTCCGATTCTTTTTCAACTCTTACATGCCAAGCTTTTTTAAAATTATCTAAAATGTTGGTAAATTTTAGATTAGAACAAATTATAACAAAACAAAATAATTATTAAATAAATTTAATTTTTAAAATAAGTGTTTACATTTTTTAAAATATAACATACAGGTTCCATACTACATACTTAAAATAATAATAAATATAAACTTTGTAAACTATTAAATAGATTTTATTTTACATACCATATGTTTTATTGCCACCAACTATTTTAATACCATACTCAAACCAAGTTGGATCTGGATCTAGGGCGTCATGAATGTCAGTACTGGTTACTCGACCAAGTGGCCATTTACATAACCTTACATTACTATTTTCTAGATTATTTGTGTCATTTTGAACTAGCCACTTTGTTGGTACTACACTGTAATCCTTCGAATCCACAAATACCACAATAACCCAACTAACTTTAATCTAAAATGGAAAAACATTCAACATTTATTTTTTAGTTGAGTATCAACTACCTTATTTATTATGCACTAGAAATCTGAAATATAGTAGCAATACCTAATGACTAAACTTGATAAAAAATTAAAGGCACCTATTAGGTAGGTAATATCTACTGTTATAGGCAAAAATATGAAACTGGCTATGCCACTGATAGCTAGGTGCATATTTATTTTTCCAATCTTAAAGAAATGGGTACTTTCTTTGTAACATTATTGTAATAATATTGAGTTTAGATGGATGATTGTTACTTTAGTTTTTTTCTGATTTACTGAAATAATATAGATATTTATAAGTTATGGAAGAGGAATCAGATAGAAACAATTACACACATTTTCTGGTAAAAAATTGTATTATTTATAACTAGGGCTAGGATTTATATGCAATAAAAAATTGTAAAATATGCATTTTATTTACCAAAATATGCAAAAATAAATTGGTTCTATTTAAACGAGAATTAGCCAAATCGTGGACAAATCTGACAACCATTAAATTTGGACTTAAGGAAAAAAACATGCAAATGCATATAAATCCTAGCCCTATTTATAACTAAAATAAGCAATACAATTAATGAGAAATTTAAATTTAATAAAGAATAAATAAATTAAACTATTATATATAATAAATAAAAATATGTTATAAAAATAAATTATAGGTACGACAGAAAGAATTTTTTTTAATGGAATGTTTTTGGAAGGAAACTTTGAACATAATATACTTAATCATTAGGACAAATAGGGGAAAAAATCATAACTAAATAATCACTATCATCTTGGTTATTCATGAACTGTATTTGTTGATTGTTCGAAATAAAAACTTAAAACATAATCAATGGTTAATGCACATGTATGTTGTCACATATTGACATATCGAGTATCAATATGTAGCCATATAGATACATATTATGGAGGTAGAAATATCGGATGACAGTGCTACAAGGGCATGGCCCGAAAATGCACATTTTGACTTTAATAATAGTTATAATATACTACTAAGTAGGTATTGTATACAGTAATGAATCTTACCTTTCTAGTTGCCATGATACACTTTAAGTCTTAAAACGATCTAAAAACGATGACAGGATACTAATCAGCTGGATACGTGATGCATGTATCATGTATCTACTGCTGTATTGTCGTACTATTGCAAGTAGAAAACAAGAGTCACGAGAAATGTGAACATTCGTCCACAATCAAAAAAACACATTTACTGTTATATCTGCTGTAGAAAAATAATAATTAACGTACGACTGACGAGTCACGAGTGACGACGGTTATCGGTGGTGTTTCTGGGTATTGTTGATAATTTATAATAATAAAACTATTTTCAGCCGCTATTTATAAATTAAAAATAAAACCCATATCTATGGCGGAGTACATAATAATTTAATATATTTTTGGATTGCTATCAACATCAAAAGAACATAAAATTGATATAATATATTATATTCTAAAATAGGTGGCGTTTTTATTATTATCAAATATTCTTACAACGTTCTACTGCTATGTTTATTTGATGTATTTATATTTGGAAATACATACATTCGTTGAATGTTTATTTCGTGTAATAAATATTGATGTTTTTTTTTAACAAATATATTATATAAAATAAACGTTATAAAATTATGTTATTATTGTAACTTAAAATTAACATTTTAAGGATGTTTAAAAACTTAAATTGCACAGTGGGTACCTATGTATATACTGCAACACTGAAACATCAATACAATTTATACGCAAATTAAAAGTTACTTTATAAATATATCACATAATATAATAAACATACCTAAATTTATTATTATAACACTGTACAAAATAGTAACACATTATTGAAAGTGAACAATAATCATATATAGATTCAAATTTCAAATTTATTAAAAATAAAAAAGACATTTCAAATATTATGTACTAATCTTTGATTTTAATCTTTAATAGTCGTACAAAATTATTTATTTTAAGTTTTTAGGTGGGCAATAAAATATGCTAATAAGTAATAATTAATGTAATTATTATTATGTTTAAAGAACGAGTTTGTCGTAAACAACAACGGTTAATGCTGTAATTATTTTCGTACAAAGATAAATCTTTCAACATGGGTAATATTTATTGTTAATTAATAAATTCTAATTAAGTATAAAAAAATAAAACAAAAATCAATTTAACAAATATTTGAAGATAAACTAAATAATATATATATTACTCATCAATATTGTAATGATTCAGATTCTTATTCATGGTCAATTTCCTAAAATAATTTTTTTATAATTTTTTAAGAAACCTGTCTAAGAATTACGAATGTTATTTGCAACTCATGAAATTATCAACGGTAATTCCGAAAATCGTATTTGTATTTACCATTATCATGTTAAATTAACATTTGTAAGCATCATGTTCTAAAGTTAGATTCGATAAGTAGAAGAAGTTGAATAGTTTTAAACACCTAATACCGAACATATACACATTTTAAAGTTAGCTGTTTCTTCGCTATATTGGAATTTCATGGTCACTGGTTTTCTTTTCCTCAACTCTGTTGGTAATATTGTAGGTATATAGGTACAAGTGTACAACTGTACAAGGATACTAATAATACCTATGACATTTTTTCTTAAAATTAGTTTATAGAATTTATACATGTATCAAGTATGTATATAGTTATATAATAGTAAATTCTTCATACTGGTATATAATATTACACATTACTGGTACAGTATATTGTATATACTGGTCATACTACACGTCTATATATATATTATAATATGCAATGATGACGTATCATTATTTTATTATATTTAAAATAAATATATAATGAATTTATGAAATTCTTTAGTAAAAATATATATGTTATTTATTTACAAGATCTTACGATCTTACGCTATTATAATTGTTAATCAAATTTTATGGTTCCATATTATTTGAAAATTAAGTTAAATTTCAATTAAAATTTGTTTTATTGTTTTTTTTATTGGTCATAAAAATTATATATAACTATAAACCCATATATTGGTATAAATGATATTTTTTTTAATTATTAGTACCTATTTTAAATAGTTACAACTTAAAATCTATACTCAACAACTTTAATATAAAAAAATAAATATATAGATACCCATTATTATGGATGGTTTTTTGAGCGATATAATTTTGTAGTAATAATTATAATAAAATAATTTAACAATAACAATTGTATTTAAAAAACATTTGGCGGCTGTATTACAATAGCATTAAAGAATTATGGTTTTAAACGTATTTATTAAAAAACCATGTGGTTAAATCGTTATTTTTTAAATAATATTCATAACAACACAAACATTAAACTTTTTATTAAAAGAACAGTAATATAATGAATCATAGCAATTCAATAAAGGTAAGTTTAAATATTGAATAAACAATTAAAATAAATATCTATTATCATCTGCTTATAGAATATTTTTAAGTTTTAACACATTTTTTTGATATATGAATCTATGATACATACTTGATATTAATTATAACTAGTTTAACTAATTGCGCATTTTTCAAAATGCCATTTATTATGTACCAAAATAGGTTAATAAATTCGCTCAAAGTATATTTTCCTAACATCTAAACCCATAAACATTTATATTTATTGTAATTTAAGTTTTATAAATAACTATGTTTGACAATGTATTCGATGTAGCACATTATTTTTTCTTGATTAAATGGTTGGCAATTATTTTTATTAATCACGTACAAAGTGTATCATTGTAAAATTATTATAATATTATAAATTTTTAAAGCATGTATTTTTTATGATATCATTAATTCTTAATATTAAAATATTTAAAAAATATAAACTATATTATTACAATTCGGCCAGGGAACGTAAATCAGTCAGTTTATACTATATAGGTACTCAGTAGTACATTCTTGTATTTGTGAAAATCATAGTATGAATATGAATACCTGAAAAGTGTGCCGTACAAATTAATAAAGTAATATAGTCGTAGTTCTCATAGTATAATAATAACAAAACAAGAAGTTTAAAAATAAGAATAATACTTTAATGATCATGTTATAAACTGAAATCTTAAAAAACGTATATCAAAAAATGTAAAGCAGGCATATTACAAAGAAAAAATAATAATTGGTTAGTACTTTCTAAATGTAAAACATGATGTATAAATTAAATATTGTTCATAAATTAAGCTGGGAGTAAATAGTATATATTACTAAAACTATAAAATACAATAATATTTATTATTTCAGTGTTCTGTAAATTAGGTCATATCAGTATATCACTCATAACTGAGATTTGTCAATTATTGAGCAAATCGTAAGCATATAGTATACCTATTTAAACAATAAAATATAACGTTTTTTTTGAGATTAGTTATAGACAGTAAGTATTTAAAACGATTCACTAAAATGTTTTATGGAACATTGGAATTAGACGAATCAAAAATACGAAACATTAATTTACTAAAGACTTGATATTCGATCATTGCTAAAACGATAATCTAATTTTAAATATTTACATTTTAATGGTATCTATGGGGTAGTCATGTAAATAAAATAGATTATAATAAATGGTGACGTCTTCCTAATGAACAAAGGTGTGATTTGAAAGGTATAGCTAAAAGTTAAGTTAGGTAGTAAAATATATATTTTAATAATAAATACCTATGCAATTGTTGAAAAATCAAATGATTAGTCATCTTTATTAAAATAATAATTTTCGTTATTAAAAACTTTTTGTCCATAAGATTTTACAAAAATTGCATTAAGGTTTATTGGTTTCAAATGCATATTGTTATACTTCAGCTTTCCAATGGATGTTTAATAATAGTAATAACTAATAATAATAATAATAATAATGAACACATAAAACCGATGGGGGGCGTTGTCCGTCTATTGCACCTCCGCAATAATCTCGCCCATAGCTGACACAGCTATTATAATAATATGATAGCGCGTTATTATACAACATTATATTCTTATGAAATGACCGGTCTGTGTACTTAGTCGTTTAAACGGGTGTTGTTGGATTTGTTTCGAAAAAAAAAATACTAGAAAACATAATATATGAATATGCATTATAATAATCATTAATCTATATATAATAATATATAATCTACCGTTTATGCGTTGAGCATTGTACATATATATATTATATACAATATACTAATATACATAATATAATGTACATAACCACATAGGTAATCATAATCCGATCGGCGACAAATCTTTTGTGAATCCTTTTCGGAATCAAAGTACAAAATGTAGAATTGTGGACATATAAGTACTGTTGTTGCAGTAGACCAATTATTCTATGACCAACTAACAATAATTTCAACGTAGGTGGACAAATTTATGATCGTAGGTGGTGCGTTGAACTCGTTTGAACTTATTTTATTATGTTTTATACACGATTGAGCGTGACAGCTATACAGCAAATCCATACAATGAATTACATACGTTCACATATTATATGTTATCCAATCGGTAGGAAAAATCTGTATAATATTATATATTCGTTTATTACATGTGCATACACTTAGTTATACATGAAACAATATTCATATATTATTTATTATTATTATTAATTTTTTTTTTTTTATTAATTAAATACTTATTTAATAAACCAAGACTTTGCTCTAATATTAAACCAAATATAGTATTATAAATATATAAATTTTCAATCTATTTGTTGCATAATGTGTTTGAACACAAATGTATTTAAACCTTATAATATAGCTATTATTATGAAGTTCCAAATCATAAATCATAATACTCGTTTTAAACATAATTATCTAGTATAATTCTTTCTAAATCATATTATAAGAACAGATTTTACTAAAACTAGAACTTATTATAATGTATTTGTAAATTTTTAAATTAAAATTAAAAGTTAATTTTCATAATTATTTGTGTTTTTTTCGTTCTAAAAATTGTATTAATGTTATTTTTTATACAATTATGCAGTACTTGTAATGTTAAACTATTTTCACTAATTATATTATGTTATAATGATTATATATCATTACTATATTGTTATTTGTTAAAATCACTATTTTATATTATTAGCTTACTAGCTTAAGCTTATTTCTTTCATTATACTGTAATTTATTTCTGTTATTGATGTTACTATTTTTGTTATTACAGATAATATAAATTTGTTTTTAACATTTTTCGCATATTATGATATAACATATACAATTATTATCTTATTTTATTATTTTATAATTCTGAACTATCACGGTTACGTATCATACCTGTATTGGAAGTGACTTTTTCTAACTATATTTATAATTTTTTGTAATATAAAATATTGGTATGGTTTTAAAACTAAATTTATTATACAGAGTATTCGATAAATTTGGAAATGGCGTTATATACTAATTGGAATTTATAAGCGATAAAATGATATAATTAATGAGGTTATTAAATATTTTACATTATCAATGAACAGCAGTGCTATCAATGTTATTTACTTCATGTAGGTATTAAAATAGACATACAGTAAATAACAGTTTCCAAACTTATTAAACATCTTATATAATAACAATATTACACTATTATTATTAATAATAATCATTTAAAAAAATAATTTGTATATTTTTGAGTCATTTAGTAATTGTGTACCCAATAATATACTACATAACTAAAAAAAAAAAAAAAACTGAAGAGTATACAAAGTTAATTGATATCATAAAAAGTCTGTCCCCTACGTTCCATTTAGTCATGCGAGCCTTGGTTTTTTTTCCAATAATATAGTAAAACAAATTATAAATCTTATTGAATTTGTACAGTTGACGCCAGAAGATGATTACGTTTCTTTCATGGTCTATCTGCGAACCAACAATGTCTGGAAAACAGTGAATGATGTGTTTAGGATGTTAAACGAAACTAGATCCGATGATCCGATCGAGTAAATTAATATATAATTTATTTTAAAAAAAACGTATGTATTATTATAGTATCATCGAGAGTCAAAGTTATGAGTGTATTTTTTTTTTTTTTTTCTAGTTAGATGTTTTGAGAAATTACATGTTCTCCTTTTATAAATATCTATAGGTTTTTCAGGGCGAATGTAAAGATCGATAACAGCGACAACAGAACCATTGAAGAAATACATCTAAAAATCGCAGAGGCCGAAAAAAATCTAAAGATCCTAAGATATGATAAAATTATGTTAACGGCTAATTTGGATTTGCTTGATAAGACAATACGTGTAAATCGAAAACCAAATTTGGGTGTTCGGAGCACCATTGACCACGCGGAAAACGACAACGAAACGATTTCCGAAACGTTACCTCATTCAGAGCACGTTTTATAGGTGCGTTGGCGTACGTGCGGGGATGAGTATAAACGGCTGTATTGGCGGACGTAGAATAACAGCTATAGCGTTATAAAAATTCAAAATAAAAATTATTATTCAAACGCAGTCAACGATTCATATCGGTAGTACTTTATAGACTACCTATATACAGTTATTGTTGTTTTTAATATGATAACATATACAAAGTACAGACCTAATTTAGGTATACTTATGATGGTCGCCGGTTCACACTTGCCTTCATGACGATTTTATATATTCATCAGGTGGTCGTTTTAAAACCAGTTATAAGTAGTAGGATTTTAGTAATAGATTTTTTCCCGCACGAACACCATAAATATACACGTATAGATTACTGCGCTTCCATGGGCAATGGCATCCGAATTCGAATTTTTACACCGTTTATTCTTACATATATTTACGCAGGAAGTATATATTATAATAATAATATAATGAAATGATTATATCGAGACATTGAGTTCCTAGTGATGTTGTTACATTTGTTCCATATATATAGGTATACACTATACAACATCTTAGCGCAGCGATTTCTCACGGTTAAATAATATTGTTCGTCTGCTTCCCGAGATCGATATTGATAAATATAACGAAATTATTCATATAATATTATATTATACACGAGTTCCACACATTTAATTATGTTATCATTAATATGCATTTTAAACAATAACGAACGTCACACTATAATATTACACAAATGTGAAATGACAATGATATTAGGTATACCTGTATCAACATAACACTACACTTAATATTGAAATGTATTTTATAAAATAAAATAATACGTTATTGTAACGATGACATTTAAAAAAAAAATTATAAATTGTGTAAAATGATTATTAATTATTACACCACACAACACCTGATTAGTTTAGACATTTCTACGTTAAAATTCAGGGATAAATAATAGTCAAATATCAGGATCAAAATTACACTTCCCTATTATAACTTTCCAGACTTTCATAATTTATATTAAAAATATAATTAAAAACTGTACCTATATAATTACTAGGTGTAAATACTGAAATTAAGTTCCTACACAATATCTCTATTACTGTAAAGCCTATAATATCGAATAAGTAGGTATGCACAATAGTGTGAATTTACATTGTGATAAATAAAAAAGTAATGGTATTTTTTAAACTATTAAGTAGAAATTGCAGTTTGTGTATGGTATCATTTACATATTCAATCTTCACATTCATGTAAAATAATAGTCTGTACTTTGTATAACAAGAAATTAAATGTTATCAAACTAAAATGGTAGAGACGTAGTTATGTCAAAAACAGAAAAAGTTAATAAATGTTATTTATTTTAAATTAAAAAAATCGGGACATTAAAATAAAAAATATAATATTCGTTATTCTTTAAGTATTATATATAATATAATATCTAAGTCCGTGGCTGTAATAAATGGGTAAACATATGCTTTAAGATACTATATTAAATCGTGGATAAATTTAAAAAACAAAAATAAAAATACGGGAAATGGAGAGGCTTCAGCCCATTACCCCTCCACCTACAAACTCCACTGATTTTGATTATATTAATATAAAATACAACAAATTTATTTTAGATACTTAATCCGTAAAGTTTAACAACCAATTTAATTTATATTCGTGATTAAACTAAGACAGAATTATTCTTATGTTATCGGAAATATTAATAACTCTCCATTTATAACAAATAATCTTTTTGTACCCATATATTTTTCGAAAATTATGACAGCACAACTCTATTAATTGACTATAATATTATGTATTATATATATATAATATTGTTGAAACTTTATTTAAATAATCATAAATCATCCATTTTAAAAGTAAACAATAAATTTATAGATTTTTATACGTGACTTTATCGTTTATACCTTTTTAATAGGTTTTGATATTGGCAACGATTTTTCATTAAAAATATTAAACAAATGAATAAAAGATAAATCCTATGTAAAATAATGCGTAACTATTATGAAACAATAGGTGAATGTAAGCTGTCTTGCTCAAAGAATTTTATAAAACCAACTTTTAGAGAGTAAAATTGTATTTAAAAAGATGTAAAATATTAGAAGTTAAAATTATAAATAATAAGAAACAAAAAAATACACATAGTAATGTGTTAATACACTTGTGTTATTACTTATTAGTTATTATATATTATGAAGTACAGTGTATATTGTGTATTTCACTATGGCTTAGCTGTTTCATAATGGAAAAAACGGTGTGTAATTTTTTTCTAAATCATCAATGTAATAGACCTTGATAAAATATATTTTTTGAACTGTGTGTCTTGTCCAGTCGTGTTATGCCCACATTCGAACGTACAACTCAGTCGTGCATGGTGCATGTATATGGATAATATATTTAGTTAGTATGTTATAGACCTATGACCTATCTAATATAATGCTTTATGTGCTTTATTATATTTATATAGAAAAATAATATAGATTGCTGGCAAATTAAAAATGAACGTAATACGAAATCATGTAATACTGTACAAAGATAAGTGATCTAATATTACTTTAAGATAATAATTATTTGTTTAACGAATGAGAACTCTAAAATTTAACTTTACGTTTTATTAGCTTACGGGCATTAAAAAATGTCACGTGATCTCAGTATCTGTATAAAATGAACATTTCGTGTAACTATAATATCACTATGAGAATTCGTCCAATTTGTTCTGAATAAGAGAAAGTAACTAATTTCCGTATTCGTTTGTTATTAGTTTATTACGGCTATCTTAATATAAATTGTATTTTATTCGTTTTTATCATCCATAGGTGTGCGCAGACCTGAATTTCGGGAGATGCCTAAATATTTTTTAGGCCGTTTTCTTAATTTAGGTCCTCTCTTAACAAAACATGTACATTTAATAAATTATAATGTACGAATAAACATTATTTGCAATTTTTTCTTTTTATCGTCAATTATAGCTAGAATATAATATTTACAATCATTAATAATAAAAAAGATAATTTAAAATTATGATTTATGTTTTACTTATTTTATATGATAGAAAATAATTAATTAAATACAGGATTAGTACTTAGTAGTGTTAAAAGTATATTACAACTTTAGGTTTCTATTGTTTTAATAATAACTATAATTTAAATTACTTTAATTATCATTATGTTCATATTTTTTTGTATTATTTTTAAATTATAAATTTTATTTATAATTTAAATTATTTAAAGTGTTAATTCGTCTATTTTTATTGAGTAGGTAATTCACTTTTCATTTCAATAATAATAAATAATTTTCTACTATTACGATGTAGAAAGAAAAAATAATAAACATATTTTAGTTTTTATTAAACTTAGTATTTAATAGTATCTATATGACTACATACCTAAACATTACTTTTACTATTATTTACTTACAAATTTGTTCTAGGTTAAATACATTGATCAAAAGAACCTTGTATTTTCTTCAAATCCTAATTGTTTTTAACTTTATCTTTCCATTTTTTGAGAACTGTTTTTAGGTGTCATGATTTTAGCATAAAAAAAAATACTTTATTTAACAATATTGGCTCAGTGGACAGTGATTATTGTAAAATGATTCATGATTAATATTTAGTAAAATAGTAAACAGTTAACTTATAATAGTTCGGTGAATTCTAACTTTAAACGGTTATGAAAAAACATTGTGTTTATTCCTTGATTATTAAGAAATTAACAACTTATTAGGAGCTTTATATTAAATTTTTAAGCATTTCTACCTTCTATCTAGTAAATAATTATTGTTTATCGATATTTAAAGAAAAAACTTCAAAATATTTATAACTTATCATGCTTAAAAATTAAAATTTTATCGTAAATAGAAAATAATAATATAAACATTTTACATAATGTTAAGTATTAACGGTTATTCATTACATCTTCTAAGTCTTTTATGATAAAGTAGAAACGGCATACCTAACCTTTTTTTTTTATTATTATAAGGACTTTTCGGCGAGCATGCTTATCCTAAAATGGCCCTCACAATTCATAAGCTGTATGGGAACTAGCCTTGGCTATTATTTCCCTTTGGAATGGCGTACTTTTTATTAACATACTGCAGTTATATAAGTTATAACTAGCTTAAAACTATCACTTTTCTGCTGGTTGTATCCTTACACTATCTACAAAATTAATATACATAAAATCTTGACCTATTTTGTGCCTCTTCTTTGCTGTTATGATGTCTCATAGCTGATCATTCACCGTCATGTTGATGATTCTACCTGCCCTGTGCCTCGTTCTGCGCCACTTGAACTTCTTGCTCCTTCAAACTTTCCAAGTCAGTCTTTTTCTCATAACCTGGGTAAAGTTATATAGTTATTCGTTTCCGATCATCGACTAATCGAAGAAGCAAGTTTATAACGTCTTCCGGACTTAATTAATCTACATCAAGGTAGATGCATAATTTCTTTCCGTGCGTCACTAGGAACACTGCATATTTCACTGTATCGTTTTCGGCCTTTCATACAATGGCAGACTAGGCCGATGGGCGGGTGGGCGATCGTCCGCTGGGATGTTAGGATTTTCTGCCTTACGATAATAATTGTATATTTTAGTTGACAACTAAGGACACAAAACAATCAATAAATCTAAATTAAAATTTAAAGTGAGCAAGATAAATTATTTTAAATACACTGTAGATAAATATTAATTTTAAAACTATATCTATTAAATTTACTTTGTTTGAAATATAACAAAACCATGTTAATGTTTTATTTAAAAAAACAATGTTTAATAACTATACTTATTAATAAATTAAAAATGTATATTTAATTATAACTTGTAATTTTGTCAGTTTAATTAATGAGATGTTTAATTTAAATTAAAATATTTTACACTGTTTTTATTGTATTTCTAGAAGTAGTTAAGTCCTTAAAAATACTATTATCTGTTTTATAATTTACTTCATCCTTTATTTTATAACAAAAAAAACAGTAGTTCTTTGTGAATACAATGTTTATCAGTTTAATAAACATT